ATTGGAATTTGTTTTGCACCTTTGAATTTCTCTGAAACTGTTCTACTTATACCCAGAATTTAAGATGGCAGCGCCGAAATTAATATATTTCAAAATTTCTTACGTAATGGGGAATATTTTGTAACTCGGAAAAAATAATCGGCTGGATCCGCTCCTGCTGTGACACCTCTCCGAACTCCGTAAGCGGAAGGCTATAACACAGAGACCCTCGTATGTCATCGGAAGTGACCGCAGGTCCTGGGAAAATCCGGCGTCTCCCACGGCACCGCTTCAGTGACAGAGGCGAAGCAATGAGGAGGAGACATTATTTTACATGACGCGATTTACAATTACTGGTAACATTGGGGAAAGTTTTCTTTCGTAAACTAAAAGTAAATTATAATTTTGAATTTGTTGGTTATTTTCTCCATGTAGCCGCATCTATCTACAGTGTAATTTATTATTATTATTATTATTATTATTATTATTATTATTATTATTATTATTATTATTATTTCTGTCCTCATTGATTCAAAAGTACCGAAATCAAGGGTAGGCCTGTGAGACGGAAGTCACTATGACAGACATGCAATTTCTGTTGTACAGACTAACTGGCAGATAAAAAGATAACACAAAGCTTTTGTGACAAGATCGACCGCCCGATGTATTCGGAGCAACAATCTGCTCAATAGTTTTCACAATGGACAGAATGAATCAGACCCGCAGAGAAAATTCAAGATTTTATCCGTGAAATATAAAGAAAAAGGTTTCACAAAATCTTGGAAACTCAAACATCGAAAATAAGATTCCATGGATTGTATAGTACGATATAAGCAATACTATAGTGTACATACTACTCCAAACGCGTGCCTATTATTATTATTATTATTATTATTATTATTATTATTATTATTACTATTATTACTATTATTATTATTATTATTAGTAGTAGTAGTAGTAGTAGTAGTAGTAGTAGTAGTATTATTATGTACAACGGAGTCCTTATATTTCTTTCTTTTCAAACATTATGTTTTTTCTGCAAAGAAAGCAAATGACCAGACGAAAGTCAGAAAATTCTACGGGGATTCCAGCCCAGACCAAGACAAGATAAAGAAAAGTTTATTCAAGAAAAAAGCGAAGAAGTGGAGGAACATAATAACAAATGGAGATCTTAAGAAATTTTCCAGGTCATCCAAAATATGACCACGGAGTGTAAACCAACAATGCCGAATGTTAAGAACGAGAACGACAAAATACATACAACAAAGAAGAGATCACAAAAAGATGGGAATAATACACGAAGAACTTATAAAAGGACTTACAAATAGAGTAGTGGATAAATATAGATGATTACAAATATGAACCTGAGATCGAGGAAATGATTTGAGCGACAAAACAACTGAAAAATGGGAAGTTCCCGGCGGTAGATAATATTCCAATCGAACTATTCAAAAATACAGGGGAACAAATCTTGGTGAAACTGACACAATTATGCAATGTGATCTGGAAAAGGAAAGAGTGACCAACAGATTTGCAATGCACTATAATTACTCCATTATCAAAGAAGGGGGACAGCCGAGATTGTACAAATAACACAATTGCATGAATATGAGTAATGCCTCAAACAATTTTAAGATGGTATTCGAAGGAAGACGGAAATATGTGAAAAAGATAGTTATGTACTACTATTACAGACCGTTTACCTCACAGACCGTTTACCTCGGTCTGTAATAGTAGTATAGCACCTCTAGTTTGATGTCCGTGGAAAATAGATTGAGATGCAAAGTAACGAACGCATAAACCGAGTGTGTGGCTTGTGTGTCCCGAAAGTCCCGCCTACTCCGTCGGGGCTGGTCGCACGCCGCCGGGCCTGGCCGTGCCGCCGATGACGCAAAGACGCAGAAGGGAAGGGGGAGGGGCGTGGGGTTTTCGTAAATTTCACTTTACGACGCTCCTATTCGTCCGATTTGCAGAATGTCACGGCATTCGATTCAGGAAGCATGTCGCAATCGCGTTATAACCCCACATTTTTTTAAATTTGTTCTTGGAAGTTTGAGAACTAATTTCAAATTCGGGTTTATGCTGAATTTTTGGAAAAAGGTCATCGTAGCGTAAATTCTATTTTAAAAAGGCGTCAAGTGCCGTTTACAGATCGAAAATCGGAACGTTGGTTCAGACGTTACCAGTAAAGTGAATTCCCCTGTTATTGCGCTGCGATCTATTGAATTTTCCTACAAGTATTTTTCGATGCATTTAGCCTTAAGCGTTACTGTAAATGTGAAATTTGAAGCTCTTTTTCACAGAAATGTTTTCAAAAAACTTCATTTAAAGTCATTTTAATAATTTAACTCTCAAATGCAGTAGTGTTTAAAACTAGCCGGAAATGTGCGTAGTAACGGCGTGAGAGATATTTAAAAAACATTACTGTAATTTAAAAAAAAAACACTACCCCAGAAAGAACTTTTATGCCATATCAAACAGTGCAATTAGCACTGTCAGCTCAAAAAGTTTGAAAATTATTGTAGCCAACTTTCTGGAAATGACATTTGAGCGTTTCTGAAAATGCGGAATTTTCAGCTAATGTTCACAGAAAATAGTTGAGTTTTCAAGAAACTTTATGTAGCATTATTTAAAGCACATATACTCATAAGTGCATAATGGGAATAAATCGCCATTAATGCAAATATTTACGATGTGAGAGACAAGTCAATGAAATTAAACGTTTGTAATTTTGGAAAAAGAAAACAAAAGACTATATCTTTAAGCCGTTTGTCTTCTTCACTTCCTTCAGAGGAGAAGTAAAGGCGGCTGTCCCAAGTTAGTAGATGTATTTGCATGTAAAACATCCTCAAGCCTAAATGACGCTTCTGAGCTAAATTCAAATTGCCTGTTACTCGCCCAAGAAATACTTCCTTTCTCTGCTAGTTGGTGAAAGGAACGTAGCGAAATGTGTGTGGCCAGACGGAAGAGTAGGCGTGATGGTCTGAGTCTCGCCACGTAAAATAAGGCATGAATTCAACTCAAAGGTTTACAGAAAAAAAATTGAGGCCGCTTTCGAAAAAAACTTGCTTTTGTTAGATTTTAATATTACGCTAATAATTAGATGGCGCTGTCTTTCTCACACTCTTTTGCCTTTCACCCCCTCAGCGATGAGTTGTGGGAGATGCGGCTGGTGGGCGAAGCGCGGCGCGCGCCCGCGATGCCTGCTTCGGCCGGCCACGCGAACACCGCAGAACAGCCACGCCGCCTGGGGCTAAGTGATTTAACGGAACCTGCGGCACTGCTGGGCGTGGGGATGTTAGCTGCTGCCGTGGCCTTCCTCGGGGAGAAGGCTGCGCATGCACGTGCTCAGCGCTGCGTTGCGTGTGCCATACTGTGACGCTGACGAAGACGAGACCACGAGGAACGAGCGCGCCGAAAGAGTCCGCGGCGCTGCTAGGCGCGCAGTCGTTGGCGGCTACCGTGGCCTTTCTCGGGAACAAGGCTCTGCGCATGGACGCGCTCAGCGCTGCGTTGCGTGTGCCATCCTGTGACGCTGACGAAGACGAGACCACGAGGAACGAGCGCGCCGAATGAGTCCGCGGCGCTGTTAGACGCGGTGGCGTTGATGTCTGCCGTGGCATTCCTTGTGGAGAAATCTCTGCGCATGCACGCTCGACGCTGCGTTGCGAGTGTTATCCTGTGACGCTGACGTAGACGAGTCCACGACGAATGTGCGCGCCGAATGAGTCCGCGGCTCTGCTTGGTGCGGTGTCGGCGGCTGCCGTGGCCCTCCTCGGGGAGAAGGCTCTGCGCATGCACGCGCTCAGCCCTGCGTTGCGCGTGTCATGCTGTGCCGCTGACGAAGATGAGACCACGAGGAACGAGCGCGCCGGATGAGCTTGCGGAGCCGCTGGGCGCGGTATCGTTGGCGGCTGCGTGGCCTTCCTCGCGCAGACGGCTCTGCGCATGCCGTTAATTTGAAGTTACATTTATGTCCAGAAGCAAGGGGTCATCTCAGCATTTGCTCTAAGAATTCTCGACTGGGCGAAAAACCTGATCGAAAGGATGGTCAATCACCCAGAAGCTGAAGTACAATACTAGTTACAGGTTCTTAAGAATTATACAATTCAAATTGTAAATAATACATTAAATATCAGTGTTAAAATACTACTACTTTCCTTTTGGATGCTCGGTATAGTCTTTAATTGTATAGAAACAGTTGTGCAGCAGAAAAGATTTTACTTGGGACTTACATTTTTGTATCGAATTTAATCGTTTAATGTCATCTGGCAAGGAGTTGTAAAATAATGTACTCGTATTGTGGGAGAATTTTTGTAGTGAGCTGTTGATACTGTCACCTGATGAATACGATTATTACGTCGAGGGTTGTGGTTATAGACATTGGCGTTTGCTGAAAATATATTTGTATGTGTTTTGATTATATTATTGTCTTACGTGTGCTGATTATTTTCTTAAGCCTGGTAATACAATTATGAATTAGTACCTTAGTTCAACTTAAGTAAATACAATTACAATATTTACCAACATATTTCCTTATTTAATAATGTATTTTAAAATATGATTTATCATCTTCCACCAGGTCGAGATATAATACGAGAAACGCGCACTTCTCGAGAGAAAAAGACGACTTTTACAAAAAGCAGGCAAAAAATTATGAAAAATCTGTTCGTTTTTATTTTATTTTCATTTATAAACTAAATTCCACCCCCGTTTATATACTTTTTTTGAATATTCATTTTGAAATAATACAAAATATACTATGCGCGCTTACCGATGTATTTCGATTCCTTCGAATAGTTCAACTCATAGCAGCACAGTTTTTCTCCCACCAAATCATTCCAGTCGAGATCATCGCTTGTACGTTGTTTCTTCAAGGTCGTGGTCGAAAGTCTAACGCGTTTTGCACACGCGCCGATTATTACAAGAAAAAAAGAAAAACAGTTGAAACTCAGGGAGTGCAAAGAGGAGAGAAGCCTGAACATGCGTAATGCACATGCGCAGGAGCATGCACATGCAAAATGGAGATAGTTTCAAAACTTTGCAGGGGATCTGGAGGCATTCATGGACTGAGATTGCTCACTAAAAGCATTGCAATGAGGGAGACCATGACAGTGATTGATGGTGTGAAGTGACCGCTAAAGGTACTGCCCTTTAAAGGGTGGCAGTATACTCGAAGCACAGGTAAAAGTGATGATAAACCTAATTTGAATTCGTATTTTAACTTAAATAAAATTTTAATAAAAAAAGATAAAGAGAATTGTAACTTAAGCCACAACTTATATTCTGTTATTACAACAAAGAAGGATGTCATAATATACGTGATGTTAGATTAATACTGCTTCAGGAACCTACAGCTCTCACATGCAAATTCGAAATTATATACTTCCGCAGCAGATCAGCGACGTTCCCGTTATCAACAGGGTCTCCCAACATGGTATTTACTCGAATGACAAAGATCGGACACAGAATGTTTGACCACACTCGCTCGCTACTGCAGCTGGCGGCCTCTGAGGCGATGGCAGCGACGCGGCGGCGGCGGCGATGGCAACCATGGCGGCGGCGGCGGAGGTTGTCCGCCTGAGTGGCGATGCAGTTGATAGGCCGCGGGTCGGCCATTCACAGGGGTCACCAGACATCAAACCCCGCCCGCCCCAGACATGCAAGTATGTAAATAAGAGATAGAAAGTAAAAATAGAAGAGCAGGCACCTCCTCTTCAAGTCTTGGAAACGACCACGGTTCCCTGCCAGTGTTATCTCCGCTCGGGGGGCTGCTTCGGGGCCGCGCCACGAGTCCATCGCCACCGCCCACCGCAGCCACCACTCGCTGCTTCTGTTGGGCCTTTTATTGCGCTACTGCCACTGACGCCCTCCGTCGGAATTGTCAGGTGCCGCCGTTGCGTCCAGTGTCTGCTGTCGCTAACACTGCCACTAACCACCGCCAACTCTTGTCACCAATTGATCAACCATCTTCTGCAACTCGTCCATTATCGCTGTCGTCACCGTTGATGTATTTGTCGCCGTCACCTGCGCCATTGCCCCGTCTACCTTAATTGCCGACTTCTTGTCATATGACATCTATCACCGCCCGTTTCCAATAGAACGAGTAGTCCGAATAGAACAGGTATCTCCGTTCTTGCCACCACAGTCCTACCGTCAGTGCCTCTTCTAACATTACCGCCGCCGCCGCCGCCGCCATCTGCTGCTTTTACCTCCATCTACCTTCACAGTCACTAGCCCAGCCGCCTCCACCGTCCTCCCCGCTACCACGCCAACCGCCGCCGATGCAACCTTCCAACCATTGAAAACTTCAGGTCGCGCCATTCCGTCCCCTACCCCCCAGACCAACCTTTACCCTTCCACCTCCCTCACCCCGCCTCCACTGTCCACCACCCTTCCCACCACCTCAATCCAAAAGCCCTGCACCACACAAGCCGTCACCGCCAACGCCACCACCACCGCCCGCCACCCCCCGTCACCATGAACCCCCGCAAAACCGTCACCGCTCCTGTACCGCCACCGCCAACCCGACCCATACCCCATCCTACCCACCGCCACCACTTCCTCGCCACCGTCCAGTAGCCTTTAAGCCTACCACCCGCCCACCGTCACCGCCGCAGCCATCAATCCAGCAGCCTTGAAGCCGCCACCACCAACGCCACCGGCGTCACCGCCGTCAACCCATCAGCCTTCAATCCACCAGCAGCGTCACGGCCACCGCCGCCGCCGCCTCCGCCTGCGCCGCGCCGGGTCGCGTCGCGCGCCAGTCCGCGGGTGCATTTCCTCGCGGGCGCACCATGGAGGGTCGGGCGCTGCGCTATGTAAGTGCCGCGGCGGTGACGCGCGCGACCGCCGTATCTCCGCCTGGGTCAGCGTGTCACGGCTTCGTTGCGACACGTTCGCCCGATTCGGTGCCAGTGCGGCACGCAAGGGAGGACGCGGGGCGGCAGGTTTCCGGGCCGAAAGCGCAGGCGGGGCGCACGGCGGCCATCTGCAAGGTGATTTTGTGAACGGTGCCCGAAATAAAGCATGTTACTTGACTCGCAGAATAGTTCAGTAATGATGTAATACCACTTGCTGACGTTCATTTCGTTCGCCGATAGATTCGCGAAACTCACGAGAGATTTTTTTGTTTTCGGTTATTGGAATACAATTTTTATTTTGCTGGATTAATCTTGTTTTTCCGTAAATGAAAGATGGAAGAATTTCCTCAATAGATTAATATATTTTTGGTGTCTTTTATTTTATAGTAATTAAAAAATCCTATTTCGTGTGCAAGCATGAAATTACATAACTGCTTCACATAATAAATAAAGTATTTTCTTTTTTGAGATCGTGAATAGAACTTTGCTTCAAACACTTTTTCTTCTTTCTCACTAATAATGAAACTGTTTCGACCATTCATTGAATCACTTTGTATTTTTTGCATGCATGCCCCGCCTCTACCTTTCAAGCCAATATTATTTATGTAATCTTCTTGAAACTTACCTTACATTTAGAAACTTATGAACATTTCTTTACGAGTTTCTTCTTTTTGTTTTAAGAAGAACAAAAATAAGAAAAAATAAATTTGTAATATCACCTATGGTTTATTAGTATTTTTGTTAAGTTGATTAGTTTGATCTAAAATCTTGAACAATTTTCGCAATCACTAGAGAAATAGTGAAAGTCAAATTGAAACACTTCAAGTGTTAAGAATTAAATAATTGATACTTAATAAGCAAATATCAATAAGGGTGTATTATAAATTCTGCTTTGGTAAGCATGTGATTGGGATAAATCTGTTCAACTCGAATTTTATAACTCAGGTAGTCCAAATGCTTCTGAAGCTGAAGGTTAGCGAAAGTCCGCGTTTGTGCTACCGACGTCAAGGATCGTGATTACCTTCTTCGGAACATTGAAAGCGTGGAGGCAGAAACAAAGGTAGTACAAACCAGCACATTTGTGCACGTCACGGAGGCCATGCGGCGCAGATGCCAATCTTGCGTTCACGAGAAGAGGAGGTCATTTCTAACACCTGCAAAGCCCCATCACACGTGGTGAAAATCCGAAATGTTGCTGTATAGCAAATACGATAAACTATCCTAAATAACCCATCTCTCTCTCTCTCTCTCTCTCTCTCTCTCTCTCTCTTTTCTCTCTCTCCTTTCATATTCGTTAGATAAGAAGGAAATAGTAGGAAAATAGAACAATATTTGTTGTAATATTTGGACTTCATTAGGCAAAATATGATCAATGACAACAAAAGGGTTTTTTCAAAATTTTGAATAGGGTTTGCACTGTTTCCTTTTGCATCAATGAATAACTCAGTGTACTCTATTACCGGGTCATGTAAGAGCAACGAGGACTAAATCATCTGTATTTGTATTAAAGTAATTATATTTTTAACCTAATTTTTATAGTGATTAAATCAAATTCATCAGATTTGATTTATGATAAAATGCATTAATAACGTGTTACTTTCTAACAACAACGTACTATTAAATTACAACTATGAACCACTGTTGATAGTTGTAGACATCATTCATCTCATCTTATGAAATTTTTATGACGCGATTGCTTTACCTTAATCAGAGCATCGAAGAAATAATTTATATGGTATTTTTCTGACTGCTAAGAAGGAGACTTGTTGTAAAAAGGCGTTGCGCATTCATTGAGTTGATGGAACGCAATGTCCTGATCAATCGTAACCATCGCAGAAGGTTATTTCTTGTTGGCAATAGTGATATGGTAGCAACATTGATGATGATGATAGTACGCGATTCTGGAACTTCGTTTACAGATAGTTGCCTGGGTGGCATTGCTGATTTTATTGGTCGCAGCAGCAGGTGCAGCTACAACTTCTACGACTGCGAGAAGTGCGGCTGGTACTGGGTGAGTAACATCTTATGAACAACTAGAAAAATAAAAGATCGAAGCATTTGTTATTAATGTGACGTATCTGAATTTCACTATGTATTCAACACAATAGCTTCATATCTCCAAACTCATCATTTTGAGGTATTAATATTGGTGTAATTAATGTATTTTTTACTCAATAGTCATATCAGAATGTTTAGAATCAGAACATACTAAAGCCAAATTTTCAAACCGTTTCTTATAAAATAAAGAAATCAGTGAACAAATAAATTAACTTTCTGAGAATCAGTGATTTAAGATATGTATCATTACTGAATTTAATTAGGTGTGTGTATGTGTGTGGGAAATGGAAAAAAGAAACGTCTGTGAAAAAATATTAAGAAGTATTTTTCCTCAGAAAAAACGCATTGTAAATACAAATTCAATTAATCAAATAGTAATATATCCTGTATCAATGGTGCACACTTTTGTGAAGAATTTATACACTTCCTTTTTTTAATTTCCTCAATCTTCAGTCTTCATAACTTCCTAGTCTTCTCAAATTGTCGTGTAAACCAAAACATACCTTCTGAAAAGCACTGGTGGTTTGGGGTACTAATCTTGAAGATGTGATAAAATGTCTCTCTGGTAACAATTTTAAATTTTATCAGAGACGTTAGTATTTACAATTTTTCTAGAGTGAAAATGGTATAATATTTTTAACTAATTTATAACAAATATCACCGATCAAATCATTTTCTAAAATACATCACACGGAGAGCTCTTAACGTTCAAAGAAGGTAAATTAACCACCTTTAACGTTTTAAATATATCATACGCATTTCATGGAAATAAAAATATTAGATTGGTGTTTTCTTGTTCAAAGACATCCAGGAAAATATATTAAAATTTAATTTTATTGATTGATGAAATATAATATTGTGTTCCTTATCATTATTCTTATTCTTTCGAATACTGAAATGAAATGCAATAAGTGTATTTTCCTTTTTATTGCAGTTTTAAAATTTTACGAACCGGTATTTGTAGAAACCTCTAATATGCAGAAATAACACAACGATTTGAAAATTATGTCTCAAATCGGCAGGATTTTAGACACTACCTACATAGCTGGATTGAATTCAGACGCTTTCTGGAAGAGAATCCTAGCAGCCAGTTGATTTTCTCAGCAGTTTTCTGTTCTTTCTCTGCCCAACACCAGGCAAATGCCGGAGCAGAGCCCTAACAAACGGGCCACGAACCGCGCGCGGTCTTTTCTTTCTCTTCCTTCTACTAACATCACTTACTTATAGAGCCACTTACGCGTACTACATATGTCGGGAGTCCATTTGGGAACTTAGAGCTTGCTCTAACTGGAACGGTGCCTCGCTCAGGGGTGATACCTGATTGGGGAAGTCCCCGCAAGTCGATGTAGGTCGGCGCCGAATCTCATTTTGCTGCGAGGGAAGGGCATTGCCACATCACGTTATAAAAACGTACACTACACTTACGGGATTAATGACTGGAGAAGTTTACACGCCCAGGAACACCAATCAATCAAAAAATAAAATCCAAAGAACCAGCCCATCGATATAGAGGCTTTTTTTCTGGAAAAAGAATTAGAAAGTTAACTTAACTTAAACTAAATCGTAAATTCCTTAGGATGTATTATTTGTATTGAGAATTACAATGGGAATACGAACTACACGATTAGGAAACAACGTTGGAAACAAGGATGATTGTTTAAATTTTATAAATTCGAAATACATTTTTTTTTCAAAAATAGATTAGTTGAATGAAATGAGTCAAAGAGTACGTCTCCTCAAATATATTTGGATTCAGTAAAGGACTCATCTCTTCAAAATATTCACTGTTGTAAGATAATTTTTAATTCATCAAATAAAATCATATTATTGTCATTGTAATAATAATAATAATAATAATAATAATAATAATAATAATAATAATAATAATAATAATAACAACTGTAAAAGTAAAAACGCTAATTAAGAAATCCACAGATAATGGTTTCCTACAAGTAGCACGCATATTGCTTAAGAACAAGTGCTTTCGTGTGTTTAAATAATTTAAATATTTTAATAAAAACAGTCTTCATGAATTCTGTAATAACGTAGTACATACGGATACGTAGTTTAACACTTCTTTAGATACCTAGTGCATAAAAAGGTTGCTTCTACATAACGCAACACGAAAATAGCAAATTCTGAATCGCTGCACAGACGGTGTCTTTCATGTAGACTTCTTGTGGCATTACCTCAGCTGTGTCATAAGCAGGAACACACCGAGGGTGGGAATTCAGTTGGTATGTGCATCATTAAAATAAGCTCAATTACGCAACCTAATATTTTCATTTTTCAGTATAAATTATAGTAAAAAATACAAAATTTCAGTAGTAATTATTTTTGGATTTTTCCAGGGTTACTGGGTATCTAACGAAATCATAGACACATTTAAAACGACCGGAGACGATTAGTCATCTTTAATTTCATAATTTATGGGCGTATTGAAAATGATTAATGCAGATAATAATAATAATAATAATAATAATAATATTAATTTGTGAAAGTATTAAAATGGTATATTTTATTAAGATACGTCCATTAATTATACAATAAATATTTTTCAAATTATTATGCCAATTTTTTACATAACTCAATTTTACCCTTTAACTTATAAAAAACACACAAAAGAAACATAACATCTCAAATAATTTTCGGCCAAAAGTAATACTTTATATCACTTATAATATTTAATCTGATAAATCAACAAATTCATTTATTGAAATTATTATTGTTCGTTGAGAACCCATTTGTGACTAACCCTATAAGTCTGACTTCATCAGGGACTTTGGGCTTTTAAGCCGGAAGTCGTGAGTGCGTGAGCGCAGAGCGTGGGAAAATCGTGAAGGAGAGCGTGTGTGGGTTCTGGTGGTGGGGGTGGGGGGAGTGGAGGAGAGGGGCGTGGTGAGGGCAACGGACCCCAACGCATTGCGTCGGGCAGAGTTCACCAGACGGCGGCGAGCGATAGCTGCCCGCGCAGACAGCCCTTATTTATTTGCTCTCGGTTGGGGGAAGTCATTGGCCAGTGCAGGACTAATGCTTAGTAGGCAAAGATAGCAACCAGCACCAAAAGTGCTAGAGCGGCCCCTCCCTCCAAGTCACCACCGACTGTTTCATTACCGCTACTACCACCGTAAAAACACTACCACCTCTATCGCCACTACCGTTATTACCACTACCATCGCCACGCCAAAATTTCCAATGATGCCGCAAATCATGGTTACAGTTTCAGTTCTAACATTTTAGTTACGAACGCCGTCGTATTGTTTTTAGGTTCACTACCCCCGGTCAAGTCTGTACTTTCTCTGCACATCTCTACACATCAATGCAATGATGTGTTCGCTGCATCTGATATCGCAACTGTTGACTTCGTCGTTACCGTCACTGCTGCCGTCAGTGATATGCCAAAGGTGACCCCAGTAACTACATTTCTACAGCAATGTCAACGCATTTTACTAGCTTTGATAGAGGTCAGAAGAGAGATCGCACATAGTACGTTATTTGAAATTTCTCTTGACGAGTGTGTGGCTATCGGAAAGAAGTAAAGTTTTACAATTTGCATGATAATAGTTACCAGTTTTTGTGTTAGAGTGTTTTGCTGTATGGTATACTACTTACTGATATCGCACTAAGATGCACTTACGGTACAGCTTAGTGCGATATGAGTATGAAGTACTAATTATAATATAATATTTTTGGCATAACATTTGTATTATATAATAGCAAACACAGGTACCAGCTACCCTTGTATACTGTATTATTGTGTCATACTTTTAATTTTAGGCATTTGTTTGTTTTATGATACTGCTTTATCCCTACGAAGCCAAGAAATCAATATCCAGTCACACGTTTCTTTGTTTACCTTACTCCATAAACAAAAAGATAACATGTGGTTTCAATAAGATAAAAGAACAAATAAAATATCACATCAAATGTGAGAAATCTTTGATGCTTATTGACTCTGTTCGACGTAAAAACTAGTATGAATAACTATTTAGCGGCTATTAGTTTCTTCGAAATAAACCGATATTGCCAGAAATCAACATCTCCAGTTTCATAATCTTTATGATAAATTTTCTTTTAATTACTCATATATTCTTTCCTCTCCCTTCTTTTCTCTTTTCGGCCGTTCTTTCAACTTTTCTTCAATTTACATCTGTTCTTATTTCTCCTTTCTCCTCGTTATTACATTTCTTCTTCCTTTCTTTTTACTTCGTTTTGTTTTCTTTTTTACACTCCTCAGTTATTTTTTTTTAGTCATTAACGTTTCCCTCTTTGTTTCTTTGCCTGTTATTCTCTTCCTTTCTATCTTCTTGAGGCTCTTTTCTTCCTCTTCGTCTTTCTCTTTCCCGCCAAATCATTTCCTTCTCCACCTTCTTCTCGAACATCTTTCGTCTTCGTCTTCTTTATTCACTAAAACAAAGATATCATACAAACTCGTTCTTTACTTTGCTTACTCTTTCGAAAAGATCGGATAGTAATAACATTTTAGATGTTAATAAGAGAACCAAAAATCTCCGTCGACATTATTTTAGTTCTGAATACAATTTGAGGCAATTTATATATTCTATTCTTCCTTCATTTCGATTAATATATTATCCGTCAGTTGTATTAATGGTCATTCCTTCATTGCCCGCTTTTATTATCTTAACCTCGAGAAAAATAAATATATCTGCAAAAGGTACAAAAAAATGAGTCGTATTCAGGTCTGAATGCACATTGGATTCTTACAATGAGTGTTCCTAATCTGTTCGAATCTTATTCAAAACCGGCTTTTATTCTCAAATAAGTGAATAATGTTTGGGACAAAAATGTTTGGTGTTATTTTCGTTACTGGTAATTATTTGTGTTATTTTGCTCGTTGCGTTTCGCGAAAACACATTTCCCGAAAGTAATTACTGTCTCGCACAGAAATCTCAATACTTTCATCCGCCTTACATCGTATATAAATCTTGTCTCCAAAATTCTGAATTCTTTTCCTTATGTCAAGAACTATCTAGTGGTGTTTTAACTGCACATTCTTTCTCGAATTATTGGTATTGATTTCGTAATATTACAATATTGCTCCTTCTAACCAACCAACATATCAGCCATCACTTGCAAATCCTCTAGCCAAACCGAGCTCCAGTGTTAAGAAACATAAATCTATATATTTTTAATATGAACAGTTTAAATAAAAAATGTTTTCTGCCACTGAATTTGATGCATTGAGCTTTTTCCTCTTGGCTAAACGAATGGCAACATTTTTAATCTTTGGAATGCTGATAATAAGAATTTTGAAAACATTGTATTACTTACTGCTTCTTCTAAAAGTTTCATGGATCGTAAATTTATTGTGTTGCTCATAGGCAAGGCAGTGCTTTTGACGGCGGAGGTGGCGATGTTGAAAATGGCACCACTACTACTCTTGCTCCGAGTTCTGCCGCAACCAACAATCACACTTACGAGCTCAGGTGAGTAAACTTTCGGCAACAAATTTTAACTACGACCACGATGTTACTTCATCGTGCTTTGGACAATCTTTTTTTTTAAGGTCGCACCAAGGTCATTAGCGACCACTATTTAATTTATAGGTATGGTAACTATGAAGATGACATGATGTGGTGATGATAGGGGAAGAAAGGATACAACCATACCCGAGGTAGGACTCGAACCCGCGATTCTTCGGTGGGAGATTGCCTTAACGATGTCGGCCCTCCGGATCGGCTTGGGAAAATATTGTTGGACCTTTTGATATGTAAAATGTCTCCATCTTAATCAACTGAATTTAATTTAAGACTGATAGTTTTATGATGTTATGTACATTTTCACATATATTTTATTATTCTAAAGATGATTACTGCCAGTATTTATCTCATTTACCAACATTTCTGTAAGATTTTATTGACATGATTTTGTTTGAAGCTGTTAAAAACGCCAGCAATATTTAAAAACTTTGTTGAACAATGTGTCGACCACTTTTTCCCACGTCTTCTCCAGATACGGACATAAATGGACCACGGGAACAGAAGTATGTCCATGTATCATTTATCAAACAATTATAATTTCATGCCTCGCTAATCATGCACAGTAAATTTAAATTTAAAAAGATTAAAAGCATTGAAGTTTGGTAATTTTTCGCAGTTTTACAAGTTTCGAAAAAGAAGGCGGAAAAGACTCAGACAAGATGAAAAGTTGTACGGATGTCATGCCACTTTTAAATGATCTATTTTTGAACGTATTTATTTATGTCCCTCGTGCGTTTTGTTTGAGCGACCCGGAATGAAATGACGCATTTGCATATCTTTTGGGCCGTATAAAAAGGATTTGCGTTTCTGACAAATGAACTTTACTATGTGATAACTCGCGGAATGATTTAATTGGTCTTAATGTTTCTCTTATCTTGTAGAAGAGATCAAGGTTGAGAGCTTATACAGCAACAACGTTTAGACATCATGATCTTCTGACCAGACTAATTTGAACTACAAATTTAAATGACGTCTGAGAAAATTTATTACGCATAATTTTTTGTGGAACACAAATCAAATAAACTAATATAAAGCATAATTAATATATAATTATGTACATTTTTTGTAAAATTTTACCCATATTTAGTATTTGCAAAGTCGGCCTGAACGCAATCTGAAGATTCTGAGTCCATTTGCGAAACGTGTTGTAACCAATTTACAATGTGCAAAATACTATTTCTATAAGCAATACCAAATTACTATCTCTGAATGAAAATGTCAATTGTTACTGACTGAATCAACTCTGAATCCAAGTGTTATTTCTTTGCATCACTTTACCTGTAAAGTATTATTAATAGAGGGAAATGATCCAAATAAGAAGGGGAGTTTCTTAATTCTTGTAATTTAGGAGTGCGTTTTCTTATCTCATATGTTAAGGTGCACACTAACTAAAACTTAATTATTTTGCAATCTCAAATAATTTCTCTTTATAATTTCGACTATGATTGAAAGAGTTGTTTTCTAATATTGTGTTCCTTTGATTTTTTTAATAATATTCCTGTTAAAGTATCCAAATAAGTTGTGCTTACAGCAAAACGACTGACAAAATACAATAAGTATAGCTGCGGCATTTACAATCTCATCTGCATTGCTTCTTTCGTGCACATGATCTTTAGTTACACATAAGCAGAGCCCATGATTATAACCAGTAAAAATGCCTTAAATATGCCATAAACATGCAGTATAAAATTCTCAAGGAAATAAATGTTTCTTATTAAAATGTTATGCAGAATATTTGTAGAAAAATTTGAATTCTGTTACGACAGTATTTCCTCTTTGAAATGTGATCAAAAGAATCATCGCTAACAAAATATGGACATGCCCTTGAGCATGCGATGTTGCTACCTGATATTAGAGATACCTTTCTTATACTGACGACCAGCGAGCACATAACTCGGTAATGCCCACGCATAAGCTCTCGGTTACTGGAAAATGATTCCTGACAGTTAAGAAAACCACTATCTATCCCGGGTGTACCCTACTCGTATTTCAGTTGAGTGCGAGACTCCTGACATGAGCGGGACGACCCGTCCCCCACGTTAGAAATTCACCCTTACATTTTGTTGTGCACGTGTTAGAAGCGAAATACTACATCATCTACATCCCTTGGGAAAATGTTTGAGGCTGAAATTATATGCACTTATTTTTCGTAACAGGTATACTGTTCGATGAATCACGATAAGTATAAATCATAATTTACCAATTTCAAGAAGTTTGATTCTAATAAATTATTTCCATTTTCACCTTATTTTTTTTCAAAAAATTACGTTGAATTGGCAGAAATGTGCAGTAACCGTAAACTGTGGCAAAATATGCAAATTAAAATTCGTCTCGAAAGCTCTCAATGGGCAGATTAAAAAAGCTATATGATCATTACCCAGCAACAATTAGCAAAAAAATATGCATTTGCATACAAATCCGGCCTCTACACATGAGAAATTTGCCCCTGAACGGTATGCTGCCCATCCTCGGCTGGCGTTTGGCTGACACACAAAATATCTTTGGCTGCGTTTAAGTATGTACCTGCCATCAGTGCAAGATGATTTGCGTACCAAACTGAAGCAAATGTTACAGAAATAACTTGATTGTATGAGATTTTCTACTGCATGATCATTGGCAACAAGTTTGTAATATTTATTCTATGACGTGGTACGAGTGAAATTTGCCTACCACCAAAAGACAAATGCCATGTGAATCACTTCATCGCATGAGATTTCCTACTACATGTTAATTGGGAAGAAGTTATCATATTAATACCTCTCTTAAAGTTTGTCATATTTATTTTGAAATGTTTCGTGGGTGTAAGATAATGTGGTCTTCTAACAGAGACAAATTTCGTATAAGTATCTTCATCACATGAGATTTTCCAGTGTATTTTCATTGGCAAAAGTGATGATCTTCCGGCCCATCTTCTTGGGTAGTAGTAGGTGTCATTTCTTCTGAGGTGTGACATGGTGTGGATCCCTATAAGTTTGTATCATTTCTTCTGAGATGTGGCGCGACATGGGTCTCTGGAAGTTTGTATCATTTCTTCTAAGATGTGTCGTGTGTCCCTAGAAGTTTGTATCATTCCTTCTAAAGCGAAGTGTGGGTCCCTAGAAGTTTGTATCATTTATTCGTAGAAGTGGCTTGGTGTGTGCCCTAGAAGTTTGTACAATTTCTTCTGAGTCGTGGAGTGGTGTGGGTCCCTAGAAGCTTGTGACATATCTTCTGGGGCGTGGCGCGGATCCCGAGAAGTTTACCACGTTTATTCTGAGGCGTGCCATGGCGTGGGTGCAGGTGCTGGCCGCGCGCGCAGCTGCAGGTGGACGAGGCGCCGGTGCAGGTGACGCGCGCCTTCCGCGCCGCGCTGCGCGTGCTGTGCGTGTTGGCGCGCGCCGCCGCGCAGCAGAACCTCAACGCCTCCGCGCCCGAGTGGAACTCGCGCAGCCCTGGATACAGGTGGGCCAGCGCCCCGCCCCCTCTGCTGGTCTCTTTCCTCCACTTCTTTTTTCTTGTCTCCTTTCATCCCTTCTCTATCTCCCTCCGTGTATGTCTTTCACTCTCGCCAACTTCTGCTCTTCCCACGCTTCATTTTCACTTACTTCCCGCTTCAAGCATTTCTTTGTTATTTCTTTTCTCTTTCTTCATTTCAACCTTTCTTTTCTTTCTCCCTCTCCTTTTTTTCTATTTTCCCATCCCATCTCTTTCCCCTTCCCTCATATTCTTCTTCTCATTCTCCTCCATTCATCTGTACTTCCCACCATCTTTTCATCGCTTCTTCCCTTTCTCTTTCTTTCTTTTTTGCATTTTCATGTCCCAACCTGTCTACGTGTTTTCCCTTTTTCTCATTGGTCTACCTTCCCCGTTCCTCCTTCCTTCTCCCACTTTTTCTTCGGTTTCCTCCACCTTTATCTACAGTCATCCTAATAATCTCCTAATCTGTACTCAATTTATTCATTTTAATAATTATGTATTTCAAGTTTTTAAATTATCTTTAATCTTTTCACATCCATTAACCATTATTATAATTAATCTCGTCCATTAACTTTCATCTATACAATATTTTTCATTTCCCTTAATTCGCATCTTTACCTCGTTTCGTTTACCATCATTCCCTCTTCCGGGAAAAGGTTTTTTTCTGACTCCATGCAACTACACTCCTGTTTCTCTGTCGTACCCCACATTTAATTACGTTTCATTTACCATTTCCGTTCACGTTTCATTGAAACAATAAAGTCAACCATACAATGGGGATAGTTTTCATCATAAGGTGAGTTACTTACATATGTGATATCATGCTAATTGAGTCTAAACGTGTGGCAGGTTCGGACATCTGGTGACAGAGGACTCCTACGATGTCACCGAATACCGGAATGGAGCGCAAGGAAACAAACAGTAAGTTCCGAGATAGGAGAACTCAGCAATATGAAACATCTTTGCCACGTGAAATAGTAACAGTATCTCCCTGTAGTACATGCCTTATTGAGTACGTGTATGAATAAATAATTGAATTAAACCTATTATTGTTATATTTTCCGCACAAATGAGGATTCACAGTGTAAATTACACGGTCAATAATATCAGCAGGCATTTATTTCTCTTCTTTGTTCCAGACTCGATATCGTGTTTGCCGATGGCCAGCCTGTCAATTCCAGCGATGCTCTGGCTATGTTCTCCTACACGTGAGTTAGCATTTTAGCCTGCAATATTTTTTTTTCAATGACTGTTCTAAAAGGCTCCAATGAGACGTTCGATTGTATGTAAAGATGTCTTACATTTTGAATGAATTTGAGATTCAGATTCTGTTAGTTTGATCAGCTTCTATTAAGGAAAAGGTGAATCTTTTAGGAAGAGACAACACATGGAGAGATAATTAATTTGTACATGTTTGTATATACAGCTCCTTTTCCGTGATCATATTAAATTTCCCTACAAAATGTGAAATGTCAGATAACATTGTACACATGCCTCAATTATGAGAAGGTGGTAATGTTGTATCAAATTTGGACGTATAAAGAAAGGCAAACTATTTCATGCAGTGCATATTCTACTGTTATATAAAATTAAAATTTCCACAAACAAATGTAACTAAACGCACTCTAGTAATGCCCTTGGAAAGAATTCCCCTCGTGTCTCGCACAACTCAGACGATGCCTTCATTAAATAGTAGGCACGCTGTATTTGAAGCATTTATAGTACCACAAGTCAAAGAAGTGAGCGCGTTCTGAAAAAAAAAACTCGTACTGGCTTTTACAACAGTGAATCGTATTCTGAATGTTCTGTTTCGAATTGAAGTGTAGAAAGAACGAGTAACTCTTGTAAATTCTATATTAATTTACTTACTGAAATTTTTTTCACTTTTCGTAGTCTATAAGAATTTCTAAAGATATTTTCACATTTGTTGTCATGAAACGTCGTTATAGGGAATTCTGCACGTTTTGGGAAAAGTAAAATAGTTATATATTTTGTGATAGCTTAAAATAAATGTTATATTTAACATTTATTTTAAACAAATTATTGAGAAAAATGCACCATTAATCAAATTTAAATAAATAGAATATTAAAAACCATTGTTGTATAATAAATGTAAATTGTTTAATAATGATGGCATAGATGGCCTGGATGATGATGATGATGATGAAGTAATGGCAGGAGACACATAGGGAAAACGAGAAAACCCAAACATATCCTGCCACGAACACGTTTGGTCTAACCATACGTAGATTGTTCCAGATTGGAACGACTGTATACAGAAGCATAACGTTAGCGCATTGGGTTTTACACGTATTCTCTAGCTGTATGCAATAGTGGGTGCATACACTATGTGATCAAAAGTATCCGGACACGTGGCTCAAAATGCTTCCCAGTTCGTGGCGCCCTCCATTGGTAATGCCGGAATTCAATAGGGTGTTGGTCCACCCTTAGCCTTGATGACAGTTTTGCCTCTCGCAGACATACTTTAAATCAGGTGTTGTAAGATTTCTTGGGGAGTGTCGGCCCCTTCTTCACGGAGTGCTGCACTGAGGAGGGGTATCGATGTAGGTCGATGAGGCCTGGCACGAGGACGGCGTTCCAAAACATCCCAAAGTTCACAGGATTCAAGTCAGGACTCTGTGCAGGCCAGTCCATTACAGTATGCGTATTACAGCGTGCAGTATTCAGAGGTGCTCGATCATGTTGAAAGATGGAATCGCCATTCTCGAATTACTCTTCAACAGTGGGAAGCAAGATGGTGTTTAAACCATCAACGTAGTCCTGTACAGTGATAGTCCCACAAAAAACCAACAAGGGGTGCAAGCCCCCCTCCATAAAAAACACGACCACACCATAACACCATTTTGGACGTGTCCGGATACTTTCGATCACATAGTATATGTATGCCGCAAATCCTCCCACCGTGTGGACCCTGAGTCAGAGACATCGCGGTGCCATCAGTTGGTTACCCAGCGCCACCTCTCACGGCCTCGGTCTCGCTTTATTCGCAAGTGTGTGAAGGGGTGTGTGTGAGTTGCGCGCGGGCCGTAGATGCCAGTACGCGCCGCGGTGCCATCAGTTGGTTACCCTGCGCGAATCGCAGCCCGCGCCCTACACCCCCCTTCACACACTTGCGAAAAAGGCGCCACCTCTAGGCTTCGGTCTCGCCTTATTCGCAAGTATATGAAGGGGGTGTGTTGGGCGCAGGCCGCAGGTGCCAGTACGGGCCGCGGTGCCATCAGTTGGTCACCCTGCCCGAATTTCAGTCCACGCTCTACACCCCCCGTTCACACACTTGCGAATAAGGCGCCACCTCTCACGGCTTCGGTCACGCCTTATTCGCAAATGTGTGAAGGGGTGTGTGTGTGTGTGTGTGTGTTGGGGGCGGGCCGCAGGTGCCAGTACGGGCCGCCGGGCCACCAGCTGGCGCTGAACGAGCGCGCGCTGCGGCGGGGGTCGGCGGCGTGGGTGCTGCTGGGGCGGCTGGCGTGCCGCGACTGGTGGGAGGCGCGCGCGCCGCCCGACTCGGTCGAGGACGAGGACGCCGCGCGCGAGGACAGCGAGGAGCGCGCCATGAACGCCTTCACGCGGCGCCTGCGCTCCGCGCTACACCCGCGCGGTACGGCCACACACTTTTACTTAACTTCTAGACATTCTCTGAGTACTATCGTTTACCAATGAAATTGGTTCACGGGATTGGTCAGTGTGGGTAAAGAAACAATTAGTTGTGCCGACGTTTCGAAATGTTTAATTTCTTCATCAGGGCTAGAGTATAAAGACAAATGAACAGTGCATGAGGACAACAAACATTTCAATAAATTGATTCATTAATTAATTAACACTACGCAAACAACAAAAAATAACGTTTATAAATTAGGACAAATGAAACGTCATAATATAAAGGTACACCCCTTACTAGTACTCATGAAGGTGAAGCCTCATTTCCAGCCACCACACCCTACTCCACATGGAGTACCGCGCGGAGTAGTTAAAAATAATGCGAGAAAGTATGTGAATTTGTAGCACACCGAGCTATATTTTATGAGAGACTGTGTTAAATGAGTTTTAGATATTTTTTTTATTAACAAAAAATAATGTTTATTCTGTTGCTCGAATCAAGTTGTTGACATTAATTTTAGAAATATTTACATATATACACACTTACAAAGTAAAATATTAAAATTTAGACATGTGTTCAGATGTTTTATTCAATTGCCATTAAGTCGAGAAAAGGCAGAAAAATAAACTAAGTTCAACTTCTGTTAGCTTTTATTAGTTTAAGAAAAGTGCTGAATACCGAAACTCGATGTAATGGTTAATTAATGCACTTTAATGATGTTTACCACGCTAGCGAAAAACTATAGTTCTCTTACCAGATTGCTGTAGCTCGTTGCATAATGGTAGATCATTGTATTACTGATTCAGTACATTACAAATGTTTGATCAATTGCAGAGACGTTAACTACCCAAGTCTTCAGACATAATCAATCATTGGTTGGGATTCTATCAAATGTTTCGTTAGGTTGTGTATATTACTGTGCTGAAACTCCGTGAAGTGGTGACGGTAAAGATCACATGCCATCTCGTTTCCAAAAATCAAATAATGGATTAAAAAGCAATTGTTGAGATCAAAATTGAGGTGATTAAGCTACAAAGAAATAAATTGGATCCTAACTTGACTCGTGTGTTGTTCGTTAGCAGTCAGACTTACGTTAGTGCTTATGCTAAAGGGCAGTCATCAGGGTGCCCCAGGTGGCTATCTACTAGGTGACGTTGACTAAATACTGTCTGCCAGATGTCAGTAACTGTTCATTGTACAAGTTTAACCTCTAATAGTTCTCATTAGGCGTAGAAAATAGTACGAAATTCAATATCAAAGGTACTAATCCACTTCTACGAAATGTATGTCATTAGTAAGGAACTCGCTCGAGGCGTACTGTCCTCCTTCGTATTCTTGTAGTAGTAGCATATCCTTCATTACATCATCGTTTCCTTATATCTGACATGTTTTGCGTCCGTAGGCGGGGGTGTGAGCGAGGGCAAGGGCCGGCGAGTGGCGCGCGGGTTGCTGGACAACCGCGTGGACGAGCTGCAGCCCTTCTTCCCGCCAGCCCTCGCAGGAGGCTCCCGCAACCACAGCTACGATATCAGGTGAGAGAGGGGCTGCTGTGCACGGTAGACGCGCGCTTCAATTGTGTCAGTTATTTTTAAACCACAGTAAGTCTCTGTCTTTTGCATTTTCGATTTTTAAAAGAAAATAGAAGTTGCGGGATACATGCAGAGTTCTATGTGTAAATCCCGTAAATTAGATGAGTAGAATGGCCATGAGAACACTGCAAATTTTTGGTTTGGTTTTGAAATTCTGTAAGTTATTGACGTGCGGGATATATATGTTTGTGTATGTATTTATATACGTAAGTATACAGCGTGGATGATTGGGATATCACTGCCAGAGAAATCGGTTAAAAGGGATGTTAAATACGGAAATATTCCTATGTTCTATCATAAAAACACCCAATTCAAACAACTGTTTCTGTCACGTATAATATTTTAATAAATGTGTGAAAAAATCGTACCTACAATGTGTATTTATTTACATGTTTCCTCTATTGAAATCCCGTATGTCATAAACTTTTAAATAAGTCGAGCGACTATTGCACTATTCATACGAGTAAATTATATGTCTCCACGGCATTCTCAATAAAGATATATGCATCAGAAATAAAAAAAGAGAAAACTTCTCTTCGTACTAATAATTAAGTGTTTCTTGTTTTCATACAACTTTAGAATTCCTGACTTGCGAGGTTTTAAAAATAAGTGATTCAAATATGATTGGATAACTTAGCAAATCTGAAGTCGTTAATGTCGATACCGGTTAATGTTTTGAAAATCGACACTGCGATTAAAATATTAATTCAAATGTTGTTATAAATATTCAAATATTAACAATAGCAGATGGCTGACGCTTTTCTCCTGCGCGTGTGCAGCTGTGCGCTACACCGCGAACGCTTATTCGCCGACGGGGTGGAGCTGCAGGTGTCCAGCCACCTGCAGAGCCTGGTGCGCTACATGTGCGCGTTGCTGCACCCTCACGGCCCGCACGAAAACGCCGGCCCACGGGAGCCCTTGTACAGGTGCGTCTATGCCTTCACTCGTTCAGGTGGTCGGGCAGCCATACACCAGCAAGCGAGACTCGGAAGCCTGGATCGCTTCGCTCGTTTCCACGTTGTAAATCGCTTCCCAATACTTCCTGATTCATTATTCCCGCAGTGGATCGGCTGGCGGTGGCGATGTACTGACAACTGGCGCAAGCAAGGCTCCTGACCCACGCTCGCTCGTGTATATTCTTCTTTCGTTCTATTAACTGTTGAAATAAAAGGAATATTTAGTTAAACGTGCATTTTAAACACATTTGAATAATAATATACTTTTGTGGAGCAACAATATGCGAAAATGGACGAGAATGTTCTCATGTTTATATGAGTAAAACCGTAAAACCGTTCTAAGACGGAATGTCTGTAAAACGGGAACCTGCCATCCCGGACAAAAAATCTCTGAACAACGATTTTAGAGGTGAAAATGATCTCTATAAGCCGAAAATCTGTCTAACGCGGAAACGGAATGGTTTTTAGAGGACTAATATTGATTATTACTTGGGTAAGAAGGAAATTTATTTTTAAGTTTATGGCATTCTCTGTGGAATGGCGTAATGCGAAGGATGACGTCCTGAGACAATAGAGTGAACGATAAGTTCTCCTCTCACCAGGGAATCTTTGCCAAACTCGGTGACGGTATCGCTGCCACTTTCTCTCGCTTTATGTGTGATTTTCAAGGATGCAACAAGCAAGACTTCGTCGTATCTCCGAATCCTTAATGTTTGTCTTCCGCACCCCGTTCAGTTCTTAATGTTTCCTTAAGTCTACAATTGAATTCCTGAAAGGCTGTATTGTCATCCTAGTCTATTAGTCGTAATGTTGACGAGATGAAGACCACACAATTTAGTGAACGCTAGCAATATAGTGTAGGAGAGCTCTGCGCTAGTGTATCAAAATATCTTTAAATCGTAAGTGTAAGACATATTCGCTACAGAAGAAAAAGCGGAATACATCCTTGTTCTATATTTTTCCTGTGTTTTACTATTGATTTTTTATTTTCAGAAATATTTTTATTAATATGCTTTATTTTCATAATTTTGTTTCAGTAACAAAGTTATATCGAAAATACAGTACTTAGTTATAAGGTGAATTTTTGGCAATTCTCTGTAAGATGGAAACCTTTCAGAACGGAAATATTTTGAAAGAACAGGCAGGTTCCGTCTTAAACAAGTTTTACTGTATTAATTTGGATTGAAATTTGCCGGTTTTTTTAGATAATCAGAATTTTAAGTAGTGCTGCTAACGAATAGAGAATACGTTTTCATATCAAGATTATGAGTTGCCTATGGAGCACATTTTTCTCAACTTCTTCAACCGTAACAATTATCCATTCATTTCTCCTAACCCAAGATTACTCAATTAACAAATTACAAGTCACAAATATACTTGTAAAAAATATGAATTTTAAATTAACTATTACGTTGATACGGCATTTTAAGTGCATCTTTCGTGCGAGTACATCTTTTTGTTTGCTGTGTTTTGACTTGACCCTTGTTGCAGCTTGGGATTCATTGTAACAGCAGAGCGCTTTGACCCTATGGATTATGTTCGAGATTCATTGATGGAGAAAAAGTAAGTGGTTATCTTTCAACAGACAAGTATTTGGTTCGAAACTAATACACACATTGTTGTATTAGTAAATTGTATGTAATAAATTGTATTTATATATTTTTCACCTCCCGCCGTCAATACATGTCATTAACGTAATAGCTACAATATTATGCAACGCATTTGCTTAATTCAAGAAATATTTATGAAATGAACCGATTGTTACCTACGTTAAACAAACGAACGTGAGTTGAATTCGAATAGTTTTGTCCCGTTTCGTGTGTAGTGGTTAGTTGTTAAACCTGCGTTTCTCACCACATTTCTATAGTTATGAGTGTTAATATAATATGCGCTTGCAAGTGGGCGCCAAAACACAATTTAATGAAGGAAACGAACGATAAGGCTATACTAATTTATTTCATAGATCAATAAAGAAATCCTCTATTTACGAGACAAGTGTTACCTTATAATCGCCGAAGATGCGAGTGAGGTATTATTACCCAGTAGAAATTCTTTATCACAGTGTGTAATATTTAATTTTATTTTATTCCATTTTTTAAATGAAATACTATTGAAATAGACGTTACGCATTATGCATTTATATTAGGGAAAGAGGAATTCAGGATGGCAATGTTCAAAACTGAACAAAACTTTAACACCCATTGAAAGAAGAATTACGCCAGAAACAAACGAATTTAGCGATCGTTCACTTCTCTGTGGGTCTGCAAGATAACGCATATATCACTCGTAAGGGCACGCAATATAGTTTAAAAAATGTTATTACTGAATGTAATAAAGATGTACTATTTACGTAGTGGCGTATTTAAAACTATTAAGGAGTGGACTAAATGTTCTGAACGAAATAAAATTAACTGAAATGAAATAATGCATGGTCGTGTTTCTGTGGAGGTTCCACGTGGAGTACCTGGACGGGTGCCGGCGCCACGGCCGGCACGTGTTCCCGGTGCACGTGCGGTGTGCGGGCGGCGCCACCCAAGTGAGCGTGCGGGGCCTGCCGCTGGTGCCGCGGTCGCTCTCCTGGGCGCTGCTAGCCACCGCTCGCTGCGGCCTCTCCTCGCGGGCGCCCCCTGCCCCGCACGCCCCGCACGCCCCGCACGCCCCGCACGCCACCGCGCGCGACGACGCCAAGGAGTGGCGCCTGCAGCAGCAGAGTCACCCAGCGCCGCCGCCGCAGGCGACCTCGCGCCTGCAGGCCCCGCACACGACGCCCGTCTTCCTCAACGGGAATCACGACACTTGGAGAATGAACGTGTTCTTCTCAACGCTGACGGCCACCACGCCCAGCCCTGTCCCTTACGCATCGCCGTGGGTGACCACGGTTCCCCCGCCGTCCTCTTATCCGTCCACGTCGCCCGCAGACGCAGGTCCACCGTTGCCTCCGGCCTCTTCCTCCCCGGCAGGCCCCGCGGCTCCGCCCTCCGAGTCCTCGTTCCGCGCGTTTTTGCTTGCTACTTTTGATTCCACAACGTCCACATCCACTGTCCCCATTCCGACGACCGAATTCCCTTCCCCGTCTTCTTCGCCCCGGACCTCCTTCTTGTCGCTTTCCTCCTACCCTTCCATCTTAAAATATCTACCGCCCGTATCGTCCGAATATTCACCTTCTCCGCTAACAACTCCTCAATCCTCGCCGCTAGAAACGGTCACTGCGAAGTCTTCTACGTCGAGTGCTTGGTCGTATTTATTCCCAGTTGCCTCAACCGCTTCCACCGTTGAGTCGGCGTCAGGTGGGTCGCAGCGGGTGGCTCCGACGAGACGGCACGACGATCGGCTGCCTCACGCCGACTGGCGGCAAGACGCAACGGCGCACGTGATGCGAGACCTCGATGAGGAGGACAACGCTTCTGAGCAACTGGAACAAGTAGAAGAGGGAGTGCTTCCTGGTAATTCAGAGTAAGTGTTATTTGCAAAATGACAGAGAATTGGATGCAAAGTAGATTCACTAGTTTATTACTTGAGTCAAAATATATTATATTTTATAATTCTATATTATACTTGAGTCAATTATATTTGAGTCAAAATATTTAAATACTTTATCTGGAATCTAGGAACGGCAAAAGCAACTTTAAATAAAATCTTATTTTATCAAATAAAATAGTAGATTTCACGCCACGTCTACAGATGGTGCCGTTCCAGTCGATCAAATATTGGGAATGGTAGGATAATTTATTGGAGCGGAAATCTGTTAGTAGAAGTAGTATCTTTTCTAGCAGTGTAGAAGTAGTTATCTTTTGTATTTAAGTCAGAGACTTTTGGATATGCAAATGCTGCTCGTGGTGAGAATATATGTCTACACTTTTTTTCTTTAGTTTCCCCGTAATAGTATGGTTCATTAGTAATCTCAAACGAATCATTAATAAAGAGATACGAAATGAAAAGAAAATATTTTAGCACAGTTAGCCACAGATTTCGTGATTTGTACGAACGGAAACAATTGTTCTGATGCACCACCGTTTGAGGATTTTTCCATTTCTGACTTGAAGGCCATTCTCGAACAATACGTCTTTACTTGTGTTATCTTGCTTTTAATATAAACTCTTGGAATATGAGCTCATTCTCTTATAAAATTTTTGCGAAATTCATTGACAAGTCTTTCTTTGTAATGACTAACGTTTATTTTTATGATTGATGACTCGAAAAGAGAAATTTGTAATCCGTATTTGGTCCACTTAAAGCCATTGTGAACGTACGAGCGTGCCATATTGTAGAATCCCATTACCTCGAGGGCATTTTTCTACTGAACGAAGGCAACAGACACATTTTTCGTTTTGTACCCCTACAAATCTACTAGTGCGAGATTACCCGTCCTATATCTCATATTTCTCCTCCTGTTGAAGATACATTTCTTGATCTGCATCTGGCGAGAGATCCCATTAAGGGAAACCATTGCCGTTTTTGAGAAAGCTTTAGGTGATTAATTATTTTTTCTGGGCACGTCAGCTTGTGGTCCTTAGTCCCGTTGTGTAGAGATGTTTTTTACCTGGAGATGGAAGGGTTCTTTCCCTACTGAATGGTGAGATCCGGCACCAGCCTACTGGTCGGCTTGCGAGGGATCCCCTTCCAGGTATCTTCTCCAGTGGGGCACCTGCGCCCGAACAAGCTCTAAACTGCCGACATGTTTAGTAGCGTAGTACATCTACGTGTAAATAAGGAGAGAGGCTTAGATAAGGGAAGGAAAGATAGCGCGCGGTGCTTGGCTCCTTAGATTACTGCGCCAGCATTCGCCTAGAATTCTTCGGACAAATCACAGAAAACGTACTTCTCGCTGCACCGGCCGCTGGGTTTCTCCTCCATATAGCAGCTGAACTCTGTAATGTGTAACTAAGTGTCGAAACTTCGCCACTGCCGGGCCTCGAGTCCTAGGAGCTCCCGGTAGAGTAGCTGCTGAGACAGCGGGAATGCTGGCACTGAAGCTTAACTCAGATGGTGAAAAGTATTGCAGAGCTGCTCTCTCAGCGAATAGGAGGGGGGGGGGGTTCCTTCTGCGCGGCGGAGTGCTGCGGTTGTCGTGTGTGGTTCGATGGGACAAGAGCGAAGCATTACTTTCAGTGGTCGGGCCCCATTAACCCTTTGGGAGCAAATGTGCGAAATACTTGAACGGGTGTGTTTCAATGGATGAAATTTTGATTTCAGGGAGGTGCTACCCACACCCGAAAGACTCGATTCAGCGTCGCCCAACAACAGAGTTTATTCGTAAGATGCTTCTTGTTCGTGCAAATTTAGAATCACAATGCTTTCAGAATGAGGAATTTGCTAATTGTTCGTATCTTTTTCTTTCAGTTCAGAAGAATACCCAGATGACGCGGAGGACTTTCACAACCATAGTTATATTTTACGGTATGTTTAACTATACAAAATGTATTTTTATTGTGCATTTGAAATAAATTGATATTTTTGGTTTAAAATTTAACTGTTAATTTCAGTTTGTTTAAGATGCACCAATTGATTTTTCATATATCCAATTGAATTTTTGATTACTTGATATTGATTGAATTAGTTCAATTGCTTTTTTTATAAATCATTGTAGTTAATTTATTCCATCCATTAAAAGAAAAGTAGGCGAAGAACTTACTTTTATTCTTCTTCTTCCCATTAAACTTGCACACCCCCTTCTCTCTGTCTGCTGTGATGCTCAAGATCAATTGGATAACAAGTTAAAAAGACATTTCTTCTGTTCAAACACTACGTTAGTCTACGTTCCTGCAAGCGCAATTGACGATTTTTATATATAACAATGAGTGGTAGTGACCGGGGAAGTATCGTATGAAGCTGTCACTTGCCTGGGCGTCAATCGTACTAGTTCTAGAGCCTGAGTTATGCTGAGTCAGCTCAAACTGGTGTCGGTAAGGGCTTCGGTTGTGGTCAGATAGATACGCATTCCCAAATTATCCTACTTGTCTAGTGGATTAATGGCCCGGTTAGGAGGTTGAAAAAACAACAACATATGATCTAATAACCAATTTGATATCGTAGGCATCCGCGGCCAGAGTCATGATATGGGCAGTACAGCCCTGAAGAGGACCGCGATATGTCGGTCGAAACGTCCTCACCTCAGCCTCGCACTTCAGCCTTCGACGCAACGTCACCCGGACAGCCCAATTCATAAACACAATTTTTTTTTCTTTTTAAATTTATAATTTTTAAAATACACATAAAAACAAGACAAGTAAAAACAACAATTTTAGAGTGCTAACTCCCTTTTCTGTAGTTAAATGAACCCCTTTCCCTGTCTGTATTTTCGGTTCGCTTCCTTTCGAATACTGAGGGAGCCATTCGCTAGTGTGGGTGTGCGTGTGCGCAGGTGCGCGGAGAGCGGGGCGCTGCAGGTGGACGGCGAGGAGGCGCGCATCACTTCGCATATGGCGGCGGCGCTCTTCTTCCTGTGCGCGCTGCTCTCCTCCGCGCAGGGCTCGCGCCCCACCGCCTACGAGTGAGTGCTCCCCTCCTCCTCCTTCTTCCCTCCTCCTTCACCTCTCCTCCTCCCAGTCCTCATCATTCTCCTCCCACTCCTCGTCATCGTCCTACTCCTCATCCTCCTCATCCTCCTCTTCGTCCTTCTCCCCCTACTCATCCTCCTCCTCCCTTTCCTCCTCCTTCACGCCATCCTCATCCCCTTCCTCATTCTCCTCTTCCTCCTCCTCTTCCCCCTCCTCGTCGTCTTCCTCCTCCTAATCCTCTTCCTCCTCCTCATCCTAATCCCCAACCTCATCCTCCTCGTTTTCTCCCTCATTTCCTGCTTCTCAACCTTCCTTTCCTTCTCTGCCTTCTTCACATCCTTCTTTTCATAGTTCCTCTTTATCTTCTTCTTCTTCTGTCTTTTTATTTCCTTCTACTTTTCCTACTTCTTCTTCTTCTTCTTCTTCTTCTTCTTCTTCACCTTCTTATTTTCTTCTGCATCTCATCTTTCTTATTCGGTTCCTTCTCTTTATATTAGTTTCTTTTAATTGATTTCATTTATATGAGGGATTTGGGCCTTTCCTAGTTTCTTCACTGGAAATTCAATAAGTGAAGAGAACTTCTCGAGCGGATCTCAAAAAATTCAATGATAATGTTTCTTTTTGTAGCCATTTCAAACAAATTGTATTGAAACAACAGTTGATATCACCACATCATATTAAATGGCTAATATAGTGAATATCATAAACTTCAATATTCTTATAAATCCTGAACGAATCATAAAGGGAAGTTTTGAAAAATGTTAATGCTAGATGTTAATTTAACTGAAATCCCTTTAGCATTGTACGCTCTGGGTCAGAGCGTATTCGTGACTGGCCGTAGTTCAATTCTTCATCTGAATCGTGCTTAGCTCCTATGTATCTGTAATCTGAAGGAGTCTGAGGAGACCAAAAAACGCAATGAACATGAACAAAAAACCGCGCGCGACTTGTAGCAAAATTCATTAAGGAACTACTGAGCCCTAAATGTGAAATTGTCCGTTGGTGAGGTACAATCATTGCACTAACGTAAAGAGTAAGGTTTTTATGACAATATAATTCACAAAAACCCCTCAACACACTATAAATTAGTGGAATACTCACCTTCAAATAATTTATTTTAGTACTACGTAAAGAAGAGCCAATGAAATACCTTAACTAATAAAGAAGCACCAAATAATTATTTTAAAAAAAATATTGTGCTTCGAAGTATTTAATTCCCGAACAAATGTCATGGGAGGAAGGTTGAGAGTTTGTTTCGTTGTGTGTGCAGTTTCGGCCCCATCCGCACCGTGGAGGCCTATCGTACGGAGGATGTGGCGATGAACGGAGATGGAGACCTCAGGTGAGTGCACGGAATAATTATTGAAAGAAAAAATACTCTTTTAACATTATAACTATTTATTATGAATATAATTATATTTATTATGAATACATTTCTGTAATCGTCGACTTATATTGATATTTCTGGTACAAGGATAACGACAGAGATAAAAAATGCTACTGTTAATATATTTTAAAATGTACAATGAGTATGTTTTCTTTACGGGAATATTTTTTAAATAATTATAATTCTTCTGGAACTGTAATTATGTAAATTAACTATTTTTGAAGGTACGAATTATGAAATGCAATATCTAGAAAAGTATAGAAGAATTAGATGTCACTCCAGTAACAATATGAAGTGCATTTGATGCTTTAGCGACCATAGGCACTATCTCCATTTGATATGGCCATATTATAAAAGACAAGGTAATATGTTATACATAACGAAAATTGTTTTTCTTCGACAGCCACAAGTACAATCCTGGTTTAGGGCAAGCACAGCACATAAAAGTTGCTCTACTGCTCAAATGAAACTGTGAATGCACCAAAAAAACCTTTTGCTTCAACTTTGCTAATTTTAATGTAACATAGTACCCAATTGAATGATTTGAATTAAAATAAAAGAAAAAAACAGTAATGATATCTAAAAAATAGTGTATGGGGTAAAAGGTAAAGTGATTTTATTTCGCTCATAGGATTGCTTCACTCGGCTATTCGGCGTCATGTCGCAACCTTACCAAATCGCAAAATGAAATGTCACTTTGTAATTATATTTTATTGTAATTGTATTGTAAATAATTATTACTTCAAGAAGTTAACAAAAATATGAATATATTTCATTGCTTCGTAGATAACTTCATTTTGTGCCACTCGTGTATCCACGATGTCAAATTAAAAACCTTTATAACCCATAGAATTGTTAAAGGTTCACACTACAATTACTTTTCTGACTGTAGCTGCATTGAGCTCCAATTCCATGCAGTTGCACACGTAAGCTTCCGCAGCTCGAATCCTTAAGTTCTTGGCTATCAGGGAGGCGCCGCGTCGTTGGCTGAGAGACCGTCGTTTCGCCTGACATGTAGCAGGCTTCCTCAGGGCAGCGAGGAAGTCACTGCCCTGAGGAAGCCTGCGACATGTCAGGCGAAACTGCGGCGTCTCCCGGATAGCCGAGAATCCACGCAGTTGCGCCCATTGAAGTCTCTGGCCGCAGCTTGGACGTGCTGTACGAGGGCGGGGCGCTCCCGCGCTCCCACGACGTCAACATCTTCTGGCAGACGTGCCGGCCCGACCCGCCGGGGCCCGAGTTCAGCCTGGACAGCGGCCCGCTGCTGCCGCACTCCATCGTGTGGAGCCTCTTCAGCAAAGTGCGGTGCGGCGCCGACCAGGGGGAGACGTTCCCCGGGTGAGCGCACGGGGTTGCACTTTGAGACGATATCAAAGAGCCTCCGCCTCCTCCTCCCCCTCATCCCCCTCCTCCCCCTCCTTCTCAACATCGTCATTTCTGACCTCTCTTCCTTCTACTCGGATTCATCCGATTCCGCATTCACCTCCGGCTTCTCCTCGCCCTCTCTTACCCCTTCTATTCATCCGGTTTCTTTACGATGTCTGGCATCTCCTCCTCCTCCTCCTCATCATCATCATCATTCCTGTCGACTCTTCCTCCTACTCGGCTTTATTCGATTCCGCATCTACCTTCGCCGCCTCCGGCTCCTCCTCTCCCTCTCTTATACCTCCTATTCATCCGATTTCGTATCCACCTCCTCCTCCTCCTCCTCCTCCTCCTCCTCCTCAACATCATCATTTCTGACCTCTCTTCCTCCCACTCGGATTCATCCGATTCCGCATTCTCCTCCGGCTTCTCTCCCTCTCTGACCCCTTCTATTCATCCGATTGCGTATCCACATCGGCCACCTCCGGCTCCTCCTCAACATCATTATTCCTGTAATCATTTCCTCCTTGGCTTCATCCCTTTCCGCATTCACCTTCGCCGCCTCCGCCTCTTCCTCGCCCTCTCTTACCCCCTCCTATTCATACGATTCCTTATTCATATCTTTCACCTCCTCCTCCTCATCATCATCCTTCCTGTCCTCTCTTCCTCCTACTCGGATTCATCCAATTCGGCATTTACCTCCACCGCCTTCGACTCTTCATCGCCCTCTCTTACCCCTCCTATTCATCCGGTTTTGTATCCACATCTGCCACTTCCAGCTCCTCCTCATCATCATCATTCCTGTCCTCTCTTCCTCCTACTCGGATTCATCCGATTCCGCATCCACCTCCCCCGCCTTCGACTCTTCCTCGCCCTCTCTTATCCTTCCTATTCATCCACATCTGCCACCTCCGGTTCCTCCTCCTCTTTCTCCTTTGCCTCCTTGTCCGGCTCAGCCATCTCAGTCTCATTCCGCTCTCCCATCACCTCCAGCTCCTCCTCAAAAACATCCGTCGCCTTCGCCTCTGCCTCTGCCACCACCTTCATTGGACGCTAGGCACCGTCTCGAGGTCATTGTCACCGTCAGAGCGAGTATTAGACGTATTCCGCATGATCATAACGAAATGTCACGAATGTAAATCTCGTAGGATGATATATTTGAGATTTGTGTGATTATCTTTAGTTATGTAACTCTTGATCAGCATGTTAGAAATGTGAAGTGGCCGCTCTTTCATATAATTTTTGGAAGAGAAATGTGCTCCGAGCAATTTCTCATTGTTAAATGTTTAATCAGAAAGATTGCGAGGGTAAATATGAGAAAGTCAAGAGAGAGAGAGAGAGAGAGAGAGAGAGAGAGAGAGAGAGAGAGAGAGAGAGAGAGAGAGAGGAGATTGATCGGAAGAGATCGGCGAAAAGAGAGAGGAAAAGAGAGAAAAGGAGAGAGAGGGAGATGTATTTTTCACACTTTTGTGTAATAATGAATAAATATCTGTTCACATACTTTTTCTTGACTAGGTCATTAGTTCTGTTGTTTGTGTTTAGCGCTGAACGTTATTTTGGAGACGACGTAGCCTCCGAAGACAGGGCTTCCGAGGAGTTGTTACCTTCCTATTCGGATAGACACCACTACGTTATCAGGTAAGACTTATTTCATTGAAGAAGTGGATGTTCACAAGTAAGGCTGTATAATAAAGCGCTCATTGAAACTTTCAATATTTTTTCGCAAATGTAAGCCTAGATATAAAGTTCTACGTACGAGCGGAATGTGAAAAAAAATATTCCCGTATTGTTTTATAGGATGTACGTCGACATTTGTCAATTCCTCTTCATAAGAGCCCTTTTCTCTAGTTATCTACCTCTTCATAAGAACAGTTTTTCTCTATTTTTGTCAACTTTTAGATTAAATCTCCCGGTGGATAAACTGTACGCGCAGGAACGCCTTGTCCTAGATTTGGAGGGGAAATAAGAGCAGGTTCAGGGGAAGTTACCCGTTCTCGCAGGAGCGCCGTGTAGTGGCTCGCAGTCGGCCACGTAGCTCGCGAGGGTGCATGTTGACATGCCTGAACTAGACAAACACTCAGACTCGATGCATGTGACGTGGACACTAGGCGACCGGCGGTGAGTCCCAAAGAGTCGCTGATGGTCGCGGGTGGGTGTGCGCATGCGCAGGTGCACCCCTGGAGAGGAGGCGCTGGTGGTGGACGGGCTGGAGGTGCGGCTGACGAAGCACATGGAGTCTGCGCTGGGGCTGCTGTGCTTCAGCGCCGGTCTGCACGGCCACGACAACGCCACCAGGAAGTAATCGCTCACCCCAGCCTTGCTTACGACGACGCGCGCCCGATCCTAGTTCTTTCGTCCTCCTCTGAAAAGTATTCACCTCATGTGTTCTTCTTTCCTTTTACTTTCTCGCCTTATTTTCTTTCTTTCTTTCTTTCTCTCTTTCTTTCTTTCTTCTTCTTCGTTTTCTCACTCTTATCCTTATGGTTCCTTATTCCGACTTCATTTCTTTTTACTCTTTTAAGACGTACCTTAATTCTTTTAAGATTGATATTTAGGGATAGGAATGTTTGAGAGACGGTAACGATTATTTTCCACCTAATTAATTTAAGAATTTGTTTCTCCATTGTCCAGTATTCGGTCGTTCAGTGTGAGAAAACTCGTTAAATAACGACCATAAATGTATTGGAGTGTAATTGATCATTGTAGTAATCTGTTCTATGATTCATGATTACAAAAGGAATTGTGATAATTTTCTCGGCTTATTTATTTATATTTATTTAAATATTACTATTTCCTAGCAAGTAATATTAATAAATAATTTCGAACTTACTATCAATCAAAGGCAATAAGGTTTGTTCCATTTAAAGCTCTACAAAACTAAACAATTACTTAACATATTGTGGCAATTATCAACAAATTATGTTCTGTGAGTACCCACAGCATTGTAATTTCATTTACAGTACTTAGACTAAATTAAAATTTTTGTAAATACAACAAATTCAAAATCTCAATACGTCAACAAGGATGAAAGCTTTCTTCATGATAATGTTTTTTTCAAAATTTAAATTACAAAGTTTTAGCCTTTTTAAATAAATATGCCCAGTTAGTAAATAACTTTTAAGAGATTGCTTTTAAATGTCAATAATAGACTACTGCAGAATTGATTGAAACATTCCGTAAATGTAAAGCTTAGTGAGGTTAGTGAAAAGCGTTTACCCGTCTTTCTCAAAGTTTCAGTTGACACTGTTTTGTGGCTTCCTGGAGGGTACTCTCATGGTCATTAAAAGTGTCATTCTGCTAATGACATCTCCCAACTAGGAATACTCAGGTAAATCACATTTTAGAGAACTGCTCCAATCATAACACCATTGTCCTAAAACGTGACAAAATGTAATTTTGAATTGAAACAATAGGTATTTCTTCTTTCGTGATTCCTTCGGTTTTCCTCGGGTTTCCAAGAAATACTCCTAATATTCATAAATTTGTTTCAAAAGGATTTCCCTCATTTTTGTCACAATTATCAACATTTAGTGTAGAAAATGTTTTCCGTATATTGACTACTTTCTCCTTTCTTTGAATTTTATGAGCAGGATTCACTTCAATGTTAAGGTGGGACTGATTGAAGATTATACTAATGTATAAAAGAAATAAGATTATTAAATGTGGGTTTATATATTGAGTAAATTCTTTCTTAATATCCAGCCCCACCAGTCATCCATTAGTTACTTTCCCAAATGACACTCTAGATCATAAGTTTTCCTTAATGAGATAGCCCTTCATCTAAAAGTTGCTAATTCGGAGACGGGAAGGAAGTTGTTTACTTCGAAGTGAAGAATTGCTACTAGATGCTTACATTAAGAACTAAAGCAAGCACGAAGTCGCATCTGAGAAGACATATTCCCTTGCAGCCTCGGCAGGCTGCGAACCGTGGAAGCCTTCAACCCGGAGGAGTACAGTTTGGAGGCCGACGGTAGTAAGCGGTAAGAAATCAGCGATAAAATAATTGATTAAATATTATTCTTCTAACCCACCAATTGAAACTTTTATCATAATAAATTATATTAACCCATTGATAAAAAAATTACCACCTATTTGGTAAAATTTTCCGCAAATGTAGGAACGCCTGGAAAATATGGGTTTGATGTGGCCATACTATTGATAAGATAAAAAGTACAGGCAAAGAAGTTCTAAATTGCCAGTGCTAGAGACTGACTGCTTATTTTTCCCCTAATTTTTATACATAATAAAGTAGGTAACGTAGTTCTAAAACAAAGTATCTTAAATGTTTTGAGATATTCTGTAAACTTACGAAACTTGCTAAAGGCATGAATATATATTTGTATAGTATGAATATATATTTGTAGGAATTGCAAGTTGTATGACAAGCTATGATACCCCGGATACAAACTGATATTATAAGAAGATAAATTATCACATTTAATTTTTAATAAAGTTATGACGTTCAGAAAATTTATGTTTATTTCCTGCAGGATAGATATACTCTACAAAGACAATATCAGCCGCTGTGATGAAAGGATATTTTCAATGATGTAAGTATTTAGAATAATATTTTTTATTGGGGCGATTATTATTTTTTCCGTTCATCAATACAACAGACAGTACATACTATTTTATTATTACCAGTTTCAATTAAGTAATTCATTTCAGTAGTCTTGAACTCGAAGAAAATATCTTAAATAAAAAAGGTGCATATTCACAATTTCTCTCTCAAAAAAGGCAGTTTCATTACATTTTCCTTCACAATTTTGTCATATCACAAGCAATGCATGTGTGTTTATATACTTTTAAAACATAATGAACCTTTTTTATCAAAATAACAACAAAGTATAAAAATGAATCATCTCTTTAATGAATTGTCTTTATATTTCTCAATTAAACAATACCTATAACTAGGGAGAGGATTTTAATGAAATATCTTTTTTTTCACTTTAGAATAATGCCGTTTAGTATATACAATTGTAAATTCATTATATGTTATGACGAAACAAAATAACCCATTTTTGCATTTTCCGGCGATTGCGACTAATAAGTCATTTGTACCTTTTTACGCCATTTTACTGCATTTTTACTGGTTTAATCGAATTTAATATCATTTTAATAGTACTTGCTTCAAAAAACGATTCGATTTCGTCGCTTGTATATTGTAATGTCAGCCGTTGTGAGAACTGTATAATCTAAGGTTCCCGTGGTGTTTATCGACGGCATTTCGTCAGATTTCGCAATAAATGAAGGCAGAGATTTTCTTTCTAAGAACTGTCCAAACCCAACGTATGTAAGCTGAGTTCACTTCAACAAAGCGAAGAAGCCACGAAGCCCATCAGTAACATATCCAACAGCTTGAGTTGTTCATCTGTAGTGATTTTGATAATCTTTTTTTTACATTAGGTTATTTTTCTTTGTTTTTAGAGCATTTTTAAAACATTTTAAGAGCATTTTATTCATCATTTTTGGTGATACCAAATACGCCCCTTACCTATAACACTTTGTCAACCCTAAAACATTTACCTATAACATTACGTCATTTTTTAAATTCGCGATTGAAAAAGATCTACACTTCTTTGAAAAGAAATTGAAACAGGAAGACATCCTTTTGAGGGAGGAACTATAACGTATAATAACATTTTTTTCGAGGAATTTTAGTTCTTGCGTAATCTGTTTGATAGTATTTTGATAGAGTTTGATCTTACAATTATTGCGTATCTATGAAGACTAAATGCGATTTGAAAATTACTTACGGTCTGCAAAAACTGACACGCATGCTAAAACTTACAGAAAGACATGGATGTAAAGAAACTTGCTAGTATCAAGCGCCGATTTCACTGGTAACACACTCAAACATGGCTTTATATACTATACTACAATATTTTCAAATAAATTCTTTTTTTTAACTATTTATTCATATTTTTATATTATATCTAAGATCATTATTACATGATTAGAAATGAACAGGAATGCTAATTTTTTTCCGCCTAAACGAGGAAGTTTATTTCTTGCGATAATTAGACGCCAATGGAAAAAGTTGTACACTTGGTCGCATTTGTATCGTTCGACTGACTTGTGAAAGTTCTGTTCAATAATTCTTCCACAAATTACCGACGTATTGAGGTGGTAGGAGTAGACTGTTTGAGGCAGGATAATTTTGGTCTGTTCTCATCATAATTTGTTGTAATCTGTTTTCCTTTTTAATAAGAAGTTTCTGTTTCTTAATAGTCACAAGTATAGTCACATTTTCATGTTTTCTTTGACATCGCCCCAAAAGGATTCGACGTTCTGTTTATCATAGTGTTTGCTTTCTTGCTGATGTCTACTTTATTGCAACTTTCATTTCGGCACTGCAATATCGCCTGCTGCGTGTGGTCTGGGATCTGGTCTTCTTAGGAGTGCACTTGTTGCAAGAGTCAGTGAGCGAGTGAGTATTGATTTCGGATGTTTTAACTACTGTGGTCACTGGTCTCGTAAGTGTAGTGCGTGTGGTGGTGGTGTTTCTACGCCGCCGGAATGTGTGAGCAGACGCTGACTATACGTCGGCTTGCAGGGGTTTCCCTTTGAAGTATCTCCCCCAGTCAGGACCTGCTCTGAACTTCCAACATATGTGGTAGTGAAGTGCACGTAAGTATAAATGTTTGTAAGCAACGGTTAATGATAGGATAAGGAAGATGAAAGAAAAATAACGCCCGGTAAGGGTTCTGCTCGGGCATTCGCCTGGGTATTGACCAGGAAAACCACGACGACTGCAGCCGGTGGCTAGCGTTCTCCTCCATGTAGCGGTTGAATCCGGCCCGAGCGCGCAGCTCGTGTCCGCCCCCGCCGAGCCTCGAACCCCGGGGGCTGCCGGCGCGGCGGAGGCCGCGCCCGTGCCTCTGCGCCGCCCCCGCCGCATGTGCGCGAGGCGGGGCGGGGCGCTGCGGCTGAGCGCGGGGCGTGTGCGCAGGCCCGAGTGCCAGGCGCGGCCGGTGCGCTTCGAGGTGAACGGGCGCCAGGTGCGCACCGGGGGCCTCATGTGGCGCCTGTACCGCTCGCTGCTGTGCGGCGCCGCCGCCGGGGACGCCAGCGCCGAGGACGCCGCCGGGTGAGCCTCGAGGGCTTTCCTCCACACCGCGCAAAACACGCACATGCCCACAGAGAGAGAGAGAGAGAGAGAGAGAGAGGGTAAACGTTAGAGTGAGGGAGAGTAAACGTGGGAGTGAGAAAGTAAATGTGAGTGAGAGTGAGAAAGTAAACGTGAGAGTGAGAAAGTAAACGTGAGAGTGAGAAAGTAAACGTGAGAGTGAGAGACAGTAAACGTGAGAGTGAGAGACAGTAAACGTGAGAGTGAAAGAGATAACGTGTGTGAGAGAGTGATATAAAGTTAGAGCTAGAGAGTGGGTGAGTGAGAATGAGAATGAAAGCCAGTGCGAAAGTGAGCGTGGGAGTGAGAGTGAAAAAGGGATTAGGAGAGGGAGTGGGAAAGAGAGTGCAAAAGCAGAAAAAGAAGAGAAAAACGCACTAGGAGACTGAAGAGAAAGAGGTATACAGATGAAGGGGGGAGAGAGAAAATGAGAGATAATTACAGCATTATTTATTTCGCATAACCTAGCAGGGTAATTATTGTCTCAATGAAAAAAGCATAATACAATCCTAAATTTCAGTCCGAATACAATTTTAAAATGTCTACATTTTAAACTTGTTTATCACTATTTATCTCATTAAAACCATTATCGAGTGACATGGAGTAGAATGGAGATTATACAATTTTTACGCTTTCGTAAAGGCGTGCGTTTAAAAAATCTGTGCTTCATTTCTAACTTTTGTGTCCAAGATTGTTACTTTATTTTTGAATGTATATTCTGATTCATTTATTTCTTTCGACAGGCAAATGGATGAAGACGAATACCAGTCCCCGCTTTACGTCGCCAGCAATGTACATAATTATGCAATTAGGTAAAGTATTCTTTTTTACTTCACTTTGTTTCTAATGTAATTTGTAAGGACAATTTAATTCAAAAGGAGATCAAAAAAACATTAAGATTTGATATTCTGCACGTTCGGCACACTTCCAGAGGCTGGGAAAGAAAATAATTCAGGTATGGTTTGAGATAATAGGTTGTCATTGATAAATGTAACTACTTCGTATTGTAACATTCGCACTCTTTTGAGAGTTGCCAGAAAATAAATAATGATTAATTTGGTTCCTTCTGAATATGGGAACTATCTTTTTGTTTCGCCATTTGAGAGTAACCATTTACGAAACATAAACAACTACTACATAATCTGAAAATTTTAGCTCTTGGCGTCACAATGCAGATCTTTATTATATGCTCACAGAAGTCTTCATTCATAGTTACTGAATTGACCATAAACTTCAATTATTGCTCGTTGATTTATATAGCAGATATAATATGCTTCTGTACAACGACTCTACTCATTCGCAAACTCTTCGTGCAAAAAGAAATGCTGTGAGATGCGGGAAACAAGGGCAAATCCTCGACCCTCGGTGGAGATCAGGCTTCGCTCGTGTAGCAACCGAGGTCATGGCGAGGGCGCAGATGGCGTTTGAGCGGGGTCAGGGCCACTTCGAAAACTGAAATAGCGAATTAAGATATATTTTTAATCGAGGATCCGTGACTGAAAGTTGTAATATATTGCAAACAAATGTGTGGTCTTATAAAAAACACGAGTCAGATCGTATCTACTGCCGTGCCTCTCGACTCTCACAATGCAATTGATGTTGGCTTGGACAAAACAAAAACTACTGAAATGCATAAATTAAGAGCAACTTCAAAATGAAATAGAGATTTAAAATATATTTTTAATCAAGGCTCCGTGTCTTAAAGTTGTCATGTATTGCGAACAAATGTGTGATCGTATAGAAAACAAGAGTCTGACTGTATCGACTGCCTTGCCCCTCGACTCAGTGAAATAGATGTTGATTGGGACAAAAGAAAGGCTACCGAAATGTAGGAATTAAATGCAGAATGGTTTAACCCAGGCTCTGTTTTTTCTTTGGAAAAGAAAACGAAACTGATGGTTGATAATACTTCGGATTAAACAAGATCCGCGAATATCCTTGAGATCTCCCTAATTTTGCTTTTATCAACTGATTTTGTAAAACCAAATTGTTGGCTGTAAACAAAACGTGATTAACACGATAATTCCTTAGAAGTAATCATTTTATACAAGTTGCATTTTCTACTTAACAATTTCTTCACTATTTCCCGGCATTTGAACCCTGAAAAAAAGTCACTTGTTAAGTTGACTCTTAACGTACCAACAGTACAAAGCTTGAGAGATAGTGTGGAAATTCTCCCGCCGGGATTAGAACCTTAGGTCCTCTCGATCAGAGGTCCAGCAGAGACATCAGTTGGTGCTCTGAGCCACCGGAGGTGGCTTCTGCCGACGTGGCTAAGCATGTGAATTCTCTATATAATTTAGAAACCGATTTCAATGTATTCGAATAGACTCTTGTTACATTTCGTTGAACTGAGTGTAGAGAGCATTTGTGGAAATATGGCTTTGTATTTTATAAAAAGGATTAAATAGAAATATTGTTGTTGAGGTTAATTAGAGCCACTATAGTGGGAAATTGGAGAGAGCCTGCGATTACCCCAGAAAAATCCATTTACTCTTTTGCTGATTAAGTGCCATTTCAAACTACACAGACAACAAACATTATGTGTTGTTGAGTTTACAGAATACCACGTATACGAACACGAACATGACGGAGCTAGATGATTTCCTTAGAAGATTTACACACCGTATTAAAGACTATCCATCCCGAAAATTGATACACCAAAGGAAATTCCATACATCTTGAAAAAGCGATACAAGGCTAAACGACGCGAAGACGTAAGCCTATGCGATTATATGAAACATCCGAGGCTTAGTAGAATGTGTTTTTGTTCTGACTAACGGAAAAAGAAGCAGCGGATAATTTTATCGTCCTTGATCATCAGACCACCCAGAGACATCTACAGTCAAGCCCAATTTATAGACCATATAATGATATTTTATCTCCCGACCAGACGTACTTGTGGACCTAATCAAGTAGCCTCTTGCTACATGCGATCAACGCCTTAAAACGTCTTGAGGTTGATAAACTCTCTTCCACACTTGGTATATAAAACCGAGACAAATATCTCACAAACGCAACATTCAGAAATTTAAATAACCATACCGTAAAGAAAAATGCGCAATAAAAAAGAAATAAACAGAAAAATCATGCATATAAACCGACAGAGACTACGAAAACTAACAATAAGACTAATTAGAAGTCTACAAGATCTGAAGGACGGGAAAAGTGCAAGTAAAGGGAAAAAAGTGATTGTGGAAACAATGTGTAGGCCGCCAAAATGGACTGGATCATTGATGAATGACTTCATTTCAACTTGCGATGACGGCGATGTTAGGGAGAATCTCTCAAGTATATTTTTTTTTTGTTATTTTAGGTCGCATCGTCTTCTAGGTCATTAGCGACCAATATTGCGTGTAACGGTATGGTAACTTTGAGGATGACACGATATGATGATGGTAGAAGATGAAAGGACGAACACAATGCAACCATGCCCGAGGCGGGACTCTAACCCCCGATCCTTCGGTCCGAGATAGCAAGGGCACTACTACCTTAACAATCTAAGTCATCCGTACTGGCGTGTATAATTTGCTTGAGGAATTTGTAACTAATATCTTAATGCGCATGACAGTACAATTTGATGTAAAATGTGTAACAATTTGACACATTTTAACTATGCAGATTGTTTTGAAAGATAGTAATATGTATGCAAGTTTTTTTTCAAATCAAATAAAAGGAAAAATATGAAAATTTCATCGTATTTGAAATACAAAGAAATAATTATTGATTCCTTTTATGTAATTCATTAGATATCAATACGACACCAAAGGAAAGCGGGACAAAACAATACAGTATTTGACAAATCTGTCGACAAAAGCCACCGTGAGAGGATGCGCGTAGGAGCCGGCGCGGCAGCTAGCGGCTGCTGGTGGACGGCGTGCGCGTGCGCAAACTTGTGTGTGTCATGTGTGGGTGAGCGCAGGTGCCGGCGAGGCAGCGAGCGTCTGCTGGATGACGGCGTGCGCATACGCAAATGTGTGTATGTATCATGTGCGGGTATGCGCAGGTGCCGGCGCGGCAGTGAGTGTCTGATGGTGGACGGCGTGCGCAACCGTGTGTGCGTCATGTGTGGGTGTCCGCAGGTGCCGGCGAGGCAGCGAGCTGCTGCTGGTGGACGGCGTGCGCATGCGCAAACGTGTGTGTGTCATGTGCGGGTGTACGCAGGTGCCGGTGCGGCAGTGAGTGTCTGCTGGTGGACGGCGTGCGCAACCGTGTGTGTGTCATGTGCGGGTGTGCGCAGGTGCCGGCGCGGCAGCGAGCGGCTGCTGGTGGACGGCATGCGTATGCGCAAACGTGTGTGTATCATGTGCGAGTGTGCGCAGGTGCCGGCGCGGCAGTGAGTGTCTGCTGGTGGACGGCGTGCGCAACCGTGTGTGCGTCATGTGTGGGTGTCCGCAGGTGCCGGCGAGGCAGCGAGCTGCTGCTGGTGGACAGCGTGCGCGTGCGCAAATGTGTGTGTATCATGTGCGGGTGTGCGCAGGTGCCGGTGCGGCAGTGAGCGTCTGCTGGATGACGGTGTGCGCGTGCGCAAACGTGTGTGTGTCATGTGGGGGTGTGCGCAGGTGCCGGCGCGGCAGCAAGCGGCTGCTGGTGGACGGCGTGCGCAAACGTGTGTGTGTCATGTGCGGGTGTGCGCAGGTGCCGGCGCGGCAGCGAGCGACTGCTGGTGGACGGCGTGCGCGTGCGTGCTTCGCGCCACTTGCTGGCCGTGCTGCGCTTCTTGTGCGACGTGATCGAGGTGTCGACGGCGCTGCCCGAGGGCGGTGTCTTCTCCTTCGGCGACCTGGCCACGCGCGACCCCTTCGCCACGGCGGAGTTCGTCGCCCGCGCCGACGCCTCCACCCGCAGGCACGCTCCCTCTTCATTTTCTTCCTATTTTCTTTATTTCTTTAATGTAGTTAGTTAATTAGATATTTTACCTCGAAAACAATAGAAACTGTATATGACATATGGGGGTGGAATGTTACTTACTCTCTGATGAGCTCCTGAATCCCTTCCTCATTCGTACTAAATTGTTGTATAGTACAGCGTAATGCCCTTCCATACCGGACAGTCGATGGGTTGCCAGAATGTTGCCCATACCGGACAGTCGCAGGGTTGCCCCAGGCTTTTCGGGCTGGAAAGCAGCTCTTTTTCACGAGACAAAACTTGATTTCCCGGAATTCCGCCCAACGGGCAGAAATGCATCAAAGCGTGAGCGGTTTTGAGCGTGCTTTCAGATTACAACGAAATTTTCGAAAAACAACCATAACATGCAATTTTCCGGAAAACTAAATGCGAACTACTTAAAAAACAGTACAAAATGCTCAGAAATTTAGTT